ACGCACGACTTGACCGTCCCCCGGGAATCTGTGAGCCTTCCTAATGTCCTACCTAGGCCGTTTTCCGACTTGACAGCAACACTTATGGTATACCGGGACCACAGATTTGTCTTACCATTAGGATATCCCAGAAACTATATTTATCGTGAACTGTGCCTTTAAATTACAATGGGGCCTTATCCCATGTCAGCTATATCAAGAGCATGGTAGAGTATTAAGGACCCTTCAATACTTTTTTTACGAAGAAAAGTGAGAAGATGAGAGGCACAAAAGAGAAGTTCCCCAAAATGATGCTCCATGATTCTCTGCATTATGGGTCTCCATATCGTCGCCGCAGTAAACCATACCATATTAATCAAATTGGAAACCCTCTGAGAAACACCTCCCTCGTCAATAAGACTTTCTAGCTCCCTCAATGCTCACAGAAACTCGGCAGCTGCTCAAGCAAAATTGGTTGCGATGTGGGGAACCTGCTAAAAACGGAGACGTTATTTCAAGGAAATGATCTTGCACTTGCGAGTATCGAGTTTCACACTTTCTCATCAAGGAACCCTCAATAGCAAAGTCATTTTATTCCGTGCTGATTTCGAATATAATATCTCTGGAAACTGCATTTGTGTAGTTGAGATCCAACGCTGTGACACTGATAACCAGTTCGATATATGATTAGAGCGCTTAATTACTCATCGATAATCCAAAGCTATAAATAAACAACAGAGGTTTTTCTTGGAATGAGATCAATTCTTGCCCAAAAAAGTGGATAGTTGTGAAACCATTCAACTACAGCTTTTTTGGGGGACGTAATTATAACGGTGGAGGCCACAAAATCAGTAGATGCAAGTTTTGCGTCAACCAGTAAGGGCAAAGTAGGAACGAGAGCTCTTGGAACTCGTAACGATTTTTGACTATAAGGGCAGAAAAAGCCCGGAATTCCGAGAACCGTCTCGCTATGTAAATTCGAGTTAATTGTATGCGGATGAGAATGGATTAATTTGAACTAATGACAATTGAAACCGATCAGGGCTGACAAAGAGCAATAGAAGGCAGAATTACTAGGTCATTTTCGTTACTTTACCAAGGGAATATTGACGCCTTAGTACGGAATTGGGTGTCCAAAGATCGTAGATAATTGGTGATAGAAAATGATAATAATTGATAGGGCTGATAAAGGATTTTGTGCCTTCCGCTCGAAACATAGATTCTCTAATTTTTTTTCGAGCGTTTCACTTAAAGCTTGGTGGAATCATTAGGAGGACTACCCAAAGACAGGGGAGCAACTGGGCTACTTCTTCCGTAACTCTGTTAGGGACTTGGCATTCGATTATGTTATGTTGGGAGTTGCCGAAACATTGCGATTGCTAGCCGGCAGAGAGATTACATAGGCAGAGATTGATAAAGAGCCCCAAAATGGATGAGCTATCGGCGTTGAGCCATTACACTTCCGATGATAGCATTGGAGCTTCGACGAATCCGATGTGTCGAGGTACGGAAAAAGTTACCAAGCGCATGCCAGCAAATCCCCTGTCGTTGTTGAAGTCCCTTCCAAACGAACCCGTCCCACTTCAAGTGAGAGGTCTAAAAAAGACCAAAGTATCTAGGTTTTGAGCATAAGGCATAACGTTTATCTGTGATTATCTTTTTCTACAGCCAGACATCTAAGATCTATTGACACGCTATCCCTTATTGAAAACATAGTTAACACATTGATGAGGTCTGATAGGAGCCGATGTCATACGAGGATATTAAAGTTTTGTTTGTTCCTTGCAAGTATTCAACAGTCACTATGAATCCTATAAAGGCTCGACGAGGATCGTATCCTCGCTTGACTACGATACCAGTTGCGAAAAAGTCTATTCGACCATAAATTCTTCGAAATCTTAGAGTATGCACGAATATCATTAAAGATAAGGAGAGTCATGGCGGCAACTACTTTAACGTTAATACTGTTGTTTTTATTGTTCAGCAACCTTAGAAGGTATCCGCTAAGGGATTGGTCAACTAAGAAGTTTGCTTGGTTATGGAAAATGCCCCTACGAAAAATCTTACAGAAAATTGGAATTCAAGTTCTCAGTCATAATTTTGTGATGCTGAGGGCCATGAAGTGTTATTGTCTGCCACTCTAATTTATTCTCTACCAACCCATATACGGCGCTTCAGTGCGGATAGTGCACGTATACAGGTAGTGCAGCCTCAACAAGTTCATCGAAGACGTCCGTTTCTGGGCGTGATAACCAGTGCCACCGATCTTTGAGCCTCTGTTGCGCTCCAACTGGTCCGTTTTTCGACCTTCACGTGGATTTCTGACTGAGACGGAACTCTAACATCTTAAACAACCTTAGATTCGGCGCCCTAGACGCCCTGATATCAGGAGCAATTTTTCCGTAAACTGTGCCTTTGATCTAACTTCAAAAATACGAAACTAATCGGATTTTGTTATATCCATGGTGTGGCCTTCAAAAAATCTTTGAAGCACCCCACGCCTCTAAGTGAGGCATATAATGGAGGGGATTCTTGAGCCTTTATTCCCCCATCTTGGCCGTCTTTCGATCTGACCTTGACCTTCTCTTTTTACCCAGATGTGGAATAGTATGAGGCTTGTATGACCTCTAGGAATCTCTACCACTGATCAAACCCGTAACGATAAGGTACCCAAGTATAACGACCTCCATCGATCACTAAATTCAGCTCGTGAAATTAGTGATCTGAACTAGGTAGCCGTCACGGCGCCTCCTGACGCATACCCACCTCTCTCTGTCCATTATTCTTCAGTTACGTAACAACAAATATAATAGATTTGACCTATTTATGATCACACGAATCCCTTTCTAAAACGACAATAAAAACCATTCTGAAATTCTGAAATAGAAGTAACCAAGACAATAAATATCTGATCACAATGAATGAATAAATAGTTGAAAGTCACAGTACTAGATTGAGACATCCCGTTATAAATCGATCTACACTCGAGCAAAAGGCACTCCAAACAGAACAGTAAACAATTAAACATTCTATATATCAATTATAAACCTTGTGGCTTTTGAGCTGAAATGGAGGAAAAAGAAATACCGAACTATAAGCGATGTGAAAAGGATGTGTTCAAAGGGCAGATGTATAGGTTCAAAACAGGTGTCATGGGTCGGTCAAATCCACCAGCGATAAATGCCAGAGGTTTTTGCTCACCAACGACGAGCGCTTCCCCATGCACCACCCACAGCATGTGTTGGTGCAGAAGAACCCATGTCTGGGAAATGTTCAGCGCTTCCGATGTCCAACTGCCATGGCGCATTAGTCACCTGGATCGGTTTGTTTGGTTTCGGCGGTTCTTGAACACGTGTCGAAATGTATGGGCTCTGTAAAAGGCAGAATGTACAGGCGAAAATGGTCAAGCAAAAATAAAATCGTAATCAAAAGGTAAATGTAACGTCATTAAACTACAAGATTTTCTATTGCCAATCTGATTGCAATCAGAACCAGAAGGGTTTCAGTGGCTGCGGAGTCTAGAACCATGAAGTATCTCAACTTGAAGTTGGATTACGATCAAACCACATACTTTAAGAATTCAACTAGGTCTTTAGTAAAAAATCAAATCAGAATAGGTCAAGGCCTAGATGCAGCCTTGGACTGCGCAACGTGCACAAATCAACAATTTCGGACCAAAGGGATGCACAACTTCGATGTAAGCCCGAGTTAGTCTCAAGAACGCTCTTCTACATTTCAATTCACTCACATTCAAGAAAAAGGAGCAATTTGGTTTCGTGTCCAAACGACTTTCTACTCTTTCGCTCAAGTGCACTTGACGATTGTGCATTTCGCACACGAACATCTCTCGTAACATTTTGAAATGGGGGAGCTGAGGTGTTGCTCAACGAATAGGCATCACACTTCGATTGGTTCGAGTACAGGTAGCAATCTTATAACTACGAAATGGTCAGCCCGTATGTAAACTGGAACTTAAAAAAAGTTAAGCAAAGGTAACAAAATGTCAGCAGCAAGTGCTAATGTTATAAAGAGGTCTGCTCAAGAGGAACAAGTGATTAGCAACTTTTGTATTTTCAAAAGCGCAAGCAGTGCAAAGAATATAAGAAACGTACTCTGTCCACGCGATCAACTAAGAACTCCTCCTCCTCAATTCTCAGATGATCAATACAGTCATATACCGCATCTTCACTCTTTCCAGCAATGATGACGAGATTTGGATCTGCTGCGTCACGAGGGAAGCGGATTTCCACTCCAAAGTCTTCCATAAGCTGCAAAAAAGGAGACATTGAAGGAGATCAGTGGAAGTCATAACAGAAGACGGCAAAAGAATCACCTTCTTAAGGTTCTTTCCGCGAACACCGATCATACGAGGATGGAATCCAGCATCGATAGAGACTTCTTGAGTGAACATAGAGCGGATCTCCTCAATCATCTCGTCGATTTCCGCTGCACAAGCTCGTGCTGCTGCCTCATACCCTTTAAAATTCTTTTTTTTTATATATATATAAAAATCTATTACATTCTGATATATGAGAGGAAATTTGATAAGGCTATATAGTTTTTGGAATTCGATGACATGGATCTGATTTTTCACTCCTTTTTTTTNTTTTTTTTGTCGAAAGGTGAATTGTAGAGACACTACTAGATTTGGCGTGATGACTTAATTCGATTTGGCTCTCTGTTATTGTTGTTGAGTGTTGCTGTCAACTGCTGTTATGTCAAGTTTTGCCCATAAGTCACCACCTTATGACACACTAGAATTTCTGATTTACAGAATCGACATTTGCTTGGCTGAGATTTACAAAGTGGTCAGCAATCAACCTTTTGTTTGACTGTGGTTCTTGATCTGTTGATTTTTATCTTTGTAACATGATCATGAGGATTTAACTCCCTTCTTTCTAAAGGACTGCTCGTGCACAGATACTTTACAGCTGAGCAGCTTGACGAACCATTAAAGAGTCCTAGAGCAAGTAGGCATTTGAAAATAGACTTATACTACTGAAGGTGTTTTCGGATGTTGATTCAAAACTGCCCTCCATATTTGAGTCACTACTCTCTGGATGGAGCTCAAAGGTGACTCTAAATGACAACCTATCAACAGCTAACACAAATCAAATGTTGTAACCCCATTCCCTGCGATGGCCGCTTTATGTCAGAAAAACCTGCTTTGGGTTGTGGGTGGAGGAAACTTCGCATGAACGTACTTGACAGAACTTTCACCAAGCCTATGTTAATAATGGAATAGGGATTATAGAGAGCGATATGCGATGAGACAGGACTGAAGGTGGTTGAAGATACGAATTGATAGCAATTGATAATAAGTAATGATTTGATGGAAGTGCTCGTGTAATAGGTCACAAATGCGAAGATGCCCCAGATGCTCTCTGCTTCCCTGAAAACGATGGAGCCTTGCTACTTCACTTTGTAATGTATGATGCGAGTGGCTCTACTAATAACATCATAACATCGGAAGTAGAGGGAATAGTGAAGCATGGGAAAAATGACTCGCCGTTAGCTGAGTATTACGAAGGCAGTAGGAGTGATAGGCTGATTTAAATAAGTACCGTGTAGGAAGGGAACAATTCAATCCTCGCTACTAGATAACGAGAGCTAGGCAATGAACTTCACGACTAAATTTCTTCCTGTTTCCGCTATAAGCTTCAACAAACTCATCCGATCGCGAGTAGACTGGAAATCGCGAGAAATCGATTACATCCATGAAGAAGAGAAAGGTCATGGCCAACGACTCTCATAATGGTGTTATCAGCAGTCGACAGTCGACACCATTAGTAGGTAATATTCAGGCTCCGTTCGACGAATAATGCTACTTAATTATAGAAAAACGCCTGTGGCTATAGTTCAGTGAGGGTAAGAAACAAGTCCCCAATGAGCAACTACTAAAGGTGATCAAGAGATAGAGAACTCGTTATCATAAGCGCAAAAACCACTAAATATGGATGTATTCAGCAAAACCTCAAGTATCACTTGGAACGGCCCAGTCGATTTCTCGTTGTGTTTACTGTAGGTTAATTTCACCGAACTTATTAAGAGCAACACACATACTGAAGGTGGGTGAGGGCGAGCGCAAGTATAGCGGCAAGGTGGACTTCCTGAAAGTTGTTGCTACCTGCTCCACATCCCAGCCTACATTCTCGATTTTTTTCAAAGTTGTGACCACTCTTAAAATATGCCAAACGTGGTTGAAGTGACACGACAGCCAGCAAGTCTATGAATTCGACAAAAGCTAGCGTGAAACCCGAGCCAGTATAATGAAAAACAGAATGGACGTCAAACAGCCCAAAAATCATTGAGAATGGCAGCTCACAAAAAACCCAAGCTGACCTTGGATGGTAATTTGATCGCATTTCTCGTCTCCACGTGGCAAGCTGATCTGTACATCGTGCTTAGCCCTGAGCGCATTTACTGTGGCTCCTTTAGGGCCAATCACACGTTGATGATATTCAGCCGGCACATCGATGACAAGTTGGAAGGAACGCAATCTCTGGAAATGGATTAGGTTGACGAAGATTGAATTCAATTGAGAAAAAATTTTGTGCTCACCCTGTCTTCAGCTTGTGCTTCGAATTCAGCAACTTTTTCTCTGATCTTCTCAAGAGCTTCCTCGACATTATCAGATGGACCAGTCACCGTGATCTCTTCACTTTCATTATTTTTCGGGATAGAAATATTGACGTCATAGTCTTGCATGAGCTTTCGAACCTGAAATTAAACCAATTATCGAGATGTAAAGGACCTCGCTCAGCCTTGCATTGGGCTACATTACTAACTAGCACAGAATTTCATTTTCCAGTGAGTTCAGAAACAACTTGTACATCGACAAAGCTTGAAATGTTGTTTACGATATAAAACTCTAAACTGCTGAAAAGATTCTCAAAGACGTCTTGAGGGCTCAAATATGGCTAAAGATGATGTTGTGAAACGGGTGACGTGCGACCGAGCGTAGAGGTAATGTTCTTGCTCTTAGACTTGAAGTGTGGATCTGCCTAGTTATCGCTAGAGCTTTTGTTTTGTGTGCTCCTTCCTCAATAAATGCGTTTGTAGTCATTCTGATATTTAGTCGATCAAGCGCATCAGTCGATTTGCACCAGGATACCATTCCTTGAACCCTTTCGTAGTGATCACAATCTTTGCCAGGACTTGGCTTCTGTGTAGAGAAGTGGAACGACCCGTTGACCTGCCGCTGCGAAAATTCGTTCATGTACAAGTTCCGCTCTCAATCGCTGGCTCGGGTACTGCTGTAGGGATGCAGCATGTATGACATGTGCAACTGTTGCTTCCTTAGCGATTTCTTTTTTTTGGATTGCTTCATCGTTGTCCAAGGCGAATTCTGCTGTGTATGTGACAGATTGAAATTAACGAGTCAGATAAGTCACCCACTATGATGAAGCAATGTGAGTGACAGCGGCGTGCTACACTATGAGGACCTGTCGTCATATTATTAACTGCGCATTTTCGAATCGAAAACATTCAAGCAAGTTCTCAGCGCTCCTTATTTGTTTGAAAAACTATTTAGCACCTTCAGTTTCTATGCTATAAAGCAGCATTTCAAGCCTCACAATTACGTCTCTCTGGAGTTCGTGGAATGCTGAAGTCTTCACTGACAGCTACCTCAACCTGATACGATAAACATTACCGTTTCTCCTCCACGTCCAATTAGACCACGATGCATTTCGATTGGCACATTGATAGTTCTAGTGACAGGGACCATAGACAGAAGTTCAATTTTGGCAGCTTCACACTTTGTATCACGTCCTGATATGGTAACCAAATCTGCTGCATGTGGGTCAGCATCCTCTGCGCCCTCTGAAGTGTCTATAGCCGAAGTTTTGCAGATTCACAGGAAAATCTTCTTACTGACTCACCCGGTCGACGATCGGGGAAGCGAATGAGAACGCCATGCTTCGACTGAAGGTCGTGAATTCTTTGACCTCGATTGACGAGAAGAGCACGATGAAATTGTGCTGGGATCTCCACTTGTATGTTGACTTGCTTTTCCTTCAATGAATAAAGGTAACAAATCCATGTAGTAATAATAGTGTATGAACGTGAAACTTACGATGTCTTCTACAATTTCCTCAATTCGAGCTTTTGCCGATTCGACACACTGCTTCGAACCCTTGATATGAACTGTTGTGGAATCCGTACCCATCTAAAGTACGAGCTCGGGTGACGTGAATGGCAGCAGGAAAGTACAAAAAAAAA